AAGAAATTCATTCATACTGTTGTAAACGCGGCTACGTACATCTTCAGTCCTAACGGCGTCCAATTCAAATATCACAAAACGACCCAAGGCTTTCCCCAATCTCCTAGAAATCAGAACGTAACACCGTGGCAGGAAGATGTTTATTGGGTCGTAAACAGAAGAAGTAGGCAGGGGAAACGGAATTATTAAGTCTTCCAGATAGCGCGTATTTATACACTAAGGTCGAATAAGAAAAAGCATCAACGTCCGTGACATTGACAATTTAGGACGACCAATAGAAAAGAACATTTGAATGACATTGACCGTCCAGATGACCAATAAAAGATAACATTGAAGTATTTGACCCTGACGGTAAGAACGATCATAATTTCGGCCAATAGAATTCGACCAATAGGATTGCACTTCTAAAAATAGTATTCTTAGGATATTTGGTGAATATCCAAACACCTCCCTCTGAAAAAAAAAGAAATTAATAGCGATGCAGCCGAGGATTTATCTGAATTTTCTTTGGTTGTTTACGTTTGCGATCCGACCACCTTCTAGATAGCAACTCTGAACTTGGAGGATGTTCTGCTTGAGTAGATGACTCAGTAGTCTCTGTTGGAGTTATTGTCGGAAGTTGAAAAGTATCCAACAGTAAGTCGAGTGAGAGGCGTTTCGTAATGTCACCCTTTTTATCAGCTTCCCTTGGCCTTAGTTGATTATGGTGCCTGGTCCAAATATCTCGGCTCACCCTGACATCATACATTACGTTCCCATGTTTCTTAGTGACTTCACCCTCTATCCATCTATCATATCCGTGTCTGTAGTCCCGCGCATACACTTTCGCACCAACTTCATAAGGCATCTGGAATCGGCAGCGGATAGTGATGCTGTTGTAGTACCGCGTTTAGTCCTGTGGAGAAGTCTGCACAGATGCGTATGGAACCATTGGCTTTCTTTACAACCACAATCGGTGCCGCCCATGATGAGTAAGAGACAGGCACAAGAACACCTTCCGTTTCCAGCCGTTGCAGTTCAGCGTCAACCAGAGCAAGAGATGCGTATGGGACTGGGCGTTTTGGACGAAAAACTGGCGTAGCTTCTGGTTGCAGTCTCAAAATAGCTTCCGCTGTGGAACAAAATCCGAGACCAGGCTGAAAGAGTTTTGTGAATTGTTTTTGAAGATCTGCAGCATGTTGTTGTGTAGTCACAGGAGTTTTCACTTGATTGCAAATAGTACTGATGGGAAGATCGGCAAGACCAAGTTCTTCGAACCAATCTAACCCCAGAAGGTTTAGAGGAGACTTGGTGATGTAGCATGTTCCATCGAAGGTTGTACCTCTGAACGAAACACAGCAATGAAGTTTACCACGAAGACGAAGGTGGCCCCCACAGGCACTGACAGCTGTCTGCGACGATGGTTTGATGCGTGGCTGACCCAAGGTTCGCCAAGTCTCTTCTGAAAGAATAGTGATATCTGATGCAGTATCCAACTGCAACCGAACCAGCTGACCATTGATCGAGAGGGTCAGAAATTTGCGTCGAGTAGAAGCATCGGTGTGGAAGACTGCTGCTAAACTCCTAGATGCAGCAAACGGCTTTCTGGGATAACGGCGCTGCGACTGTGAATTTCGCCGGCCAGTGAATTTGGTTGATTGGCAAAAACCGCTTTTATGACCAATTTTCTGACAGCGATTGCACACATGCTGCTTGAATGGACAAAATTTCACATAATGCCAGTCTCCACAGTGCCAACATGGTGAGGGGGGCTTCTTATGCGTTGATTTTGATTGATTAGAAACAGAACTGGCATTCGAACGACCAAAGTTTTCCGATCTAGAAGATTTGTTCTGCTGCTGAACAACGTGAACTTCGGAACCACCCTGGCTCCCAGACTGAACCAAAGTGGTGTCACACTGTAAGTTGGTGATGCGTTGATACTCATCAGCGATAGCATCGAGTGTCAGTGTTGGGTCTTGTTCGAGGCGGTTAAGCAATCGAGTTCTGATGTCGGAGAATTTGGGTGATTGTAGACTGCATATGAATATGAGTGATTTGAATTGGTCATCAGTAAGGGATCTGTGTTTGAACCGTTCACACTCGCGGTTGACAATACCAACATGAGTCAAGAAGTCATCGGACTCATTCATGACTAGTTTTAAACAACGATAACGTGTATTGAAAATAGAATGCTGATCCCCAAAAAGTTTGCTGAGGGACTGAACCGTAGCATCGAATGATCTGTCACGTGGGTTCTGCGGTAGGATGTAGTTGCGATACTTGTCCAGTTCTGACGGACCAAGTTTTCGAAGGAGAAGACGCACCTTCCAGGAATCATCTTTGTCAGCAAAATCAACTTTGAAAAGATCTTCATAACGCATGAACCAAGTATCAAATGTAATATTGGCGTCAGGATCATACAGAAACTCAGAAATACTACTGGTCATACCATCAACTGACTGAGGAATTGTTGGTGTAGATGAGACTTGAGAAGAGATGTGCGTCTGAGTAAGCATCTCCATCAGCTTCAGCTGCTGTGCAAACAATTTTTCTAATGTAGCTGGATCCATATTTAGTCACCAACCCGTCGCCAAATTTTTTGTAAACGCGGCTACGTAAATCTTCAGTCCTAACGGCGTCCAATTCAAATATCACAAAACGACCCAAGGCTTTCCCCAATCTCCTAGAAATCAGAACGTAACACCGTGGCAGGAAGATGTTTATTGGGTCGTAAACAGAAGAAGTAGGCAGGGGAAACGGAATTATTAAGTCTTCCAGATAGCGCGTATTTATACACTAAGGTCGAATAAGAAAAAGCATCAACGTCCGTGACATTGACAATTTAGGACGACCAATAGAAAAGAACATTTGAATGACATTGACCGTCCAGATGACCAATAAAAGATAACATTGAAGTATTTGACCCTGACGGTAAGAACGATCATAATTTCGGCCAATAGAATTCGACCAATAGGATTGCACTTCTAAAAATAGTATTCTTAGGATATTTGGTGAATATCCTAACACATACAATAATCTCAATTATATATTGATTGAAATTTCATCAAACATTCATTTTATGTGATTGAATAATTAGGCATTGAATTCTTATTGGATGTTTAAAGCTCTCTAATTATCATATATGATATATATATATATATATATATCTACATATCTATATGCATACGCATAAAATTACATTACGGGGTTGTGAAGATTGTTAAGTTAGACATTGGAAATCATGAATTGATCAATGTTAGACCACCATTTGAAACATGGAAGCACTGAACGGCCATTGGTAAGGGACTCATCAGTGGCAGTTTGCACTCACGACTAATGTACCTCGCAGGATTCGAACCTAGGAACTTTGGTTTTGTGCGCGAAAGCCTGATCTCTGGAGCGGCTCAGTGGTCTAGAGGTTAGGCGTTCTCGCGTCCTATACTAGAACGAAACGGCCATCCATTTCTTCCAGGTTTCTAATGGTGGTCTGACAATGATCGATTCATGATTTCAAATACATAGAATTGTCATCTTTTGCCTGATTTATTTATTTCAACCAAATTGCCACTTGCCGACATTTTAAGTGATACGATAAATTATCTATTCATGAAGAGAAGAATATGAATTGGTCACGAATATCTATTGATTCGTGTGTTTTGAGTGTTTTTCTTCCTTATCCCAATTCTAAAACAAAAAAAGACTATTCACATTTATATTGTTGACAATCGATTCAATAATAGACAAACGGAACAATGGCTAACGAGTCCAATACGCCTATAAGTGTTGACTTGCAATTTTACGAATCTCTAGTCCCTGTCATCATCGTCATTATGGATAGCAGCAGCGGTAGCAGTGTAGTGAAGGAGAACACAGATGAGGGCAACCGAATTGTATTTAACGAAAATTACAGAGTTACTCAGTAAAATAGGAAAACCATATCGTAACCGTTAATTTGCAAATCTTCAATCAATCATCAATCCATTGTCTGACATTTCACTATTTATGCTATTTCATACAAATTCCATTATGTTCCCACTCTTCCTTTCTTGATCTTCCCCCATGTTCTGCTACCAGACATTACGTTTACACTCACGTCATATACTATTTATAAGTAGCGCGCACCACAGCAGCAGCAAAAACATAGTCACCCTGTGACGACGACTTTAACCGGGAGAAGTCTACTTGGTTTATTCGTATGAGTAGAAAAAATAGTCACATGCTCATTCTTATTATGTTATCTAATAGAATCGCATTGAATTAAAAGAGATTAGATTAGAATGTCACTTGCTTTATCCTGTCATTATCTACGAAATCAATATAGTGAAAAACACTACTACATACGACAAACTGGAAGTCCTGTTCAGCTTTGTTTGATTTGAACATCAATCCAATGGCAATCAAACGCCATGATATGTCTTCCCTTTACATCACTACAAACTATGGAAATACATTCGATTGGAACAATGTGGAAATCCTTGAAAGAGAGAGGGAATACAAAGAACACTAGGAAATATTTAGAATCTTGGCACTTAGGTCAATCAGAAATCAACAAATAGATCAAAGGGACATGCAATAAAAATAAAAATGCAAACAACGACAAGTTTAGTGTGTTGATAATAATAAATAATCAAGATCGAGGTTAACAGGACAAGCTGCGAGTCAGTCATACGTAGAGAAATTCGAATATTTCACGTCTACTATCTGACGTGTGGCTAAATACACGGACCGAGTACATAAACTTGTATTCTACCATGTGAGTTACACATGGTCATAATGATTCGCATTTTTCATTGAAATCATGAATCAATCATCATTTGAAAACTGGAAGCAGTGGACAGACGTTTCGTCTTAGTATGAAAGTAATATATTTGAAAAACAAAATTTAAACTCATGACTTTTTTATACAGTCAGTCAGTCAGTCAGTCAGTCACTTACAACGTAGGACGTACGTACGTAAATACATCAGAGACGCACTTGTCAGTTCGAATCTCATAGTGGTAGAAATAATAGGAGTATTAGCAGTAACCGGAGAAATTAGGGTTCGACAATATTATTCAAGAAGTATACTTCAGTGAGATAACTTAAGGAAGAGAAAGGTAGAAGTGTTGACGAATTCAGAGGGTTAGGATTTGAGAGAACGCAACAAGTAGATGCACTTGTGCCATTGCAAACGATTTTGAGCCATGTCGTTCAAGGTCTCTAACCATCGGTTACTATTGTCATGCGGACCCCAACCAGCTAGTCTGCTTCTACCGATATGACTCAGTCCACTTGTCAGTAACTTGATGGATTTCTGTCATGTATTGGTTTTGCCGCTCCTATCTTTCTGCCAACCTTTTCTATACGCTTTAAGATTGTGTTCTACTAAAAACACATCATTATGCCATTATTCTCTAGGTTATATTTGTTTTTCATATGAAATAGCTAAAACTTATTCAAATTTAATATACTTCAAAATTAGAGAAAAACTTTAACTTGCAAAGTACTCTTTCATGAATAATATAAATTATGATCGATATACATGTTATAATCATTATTAAATAAAGTTATCTGAGCTTTTGTTATTTAGTTTGATTAATTCATTTATTGAACAATGACTAGTTTCAAGGTTTTGGATTGTATATTTATAAACGTGTAGCTCATCTACTTTCCAATGTTCAATGTATATGTGCAATATGGAACATTTTTCAGTGTTTTTCTTTTTTTTTTTAATGAGTGAATACTTTACATCAGAACTGTAACTTTTAAATGTATTTGCAATTTTTTTTCATCTTACAAGTTGGGCTAAGGTTTTAGATAACCTTATCCTCGTCTGAATTTTCAGGAGTAGACCTTTTACCAGGAGGCTCGCTTATTGACTTAGAATATGTCGATGACATTGTCCTACTTGGTGAAGACGCTGACAAAATGCAGAGTCTTCTGACTACCATAAGCAACAATGCAAGCATGTTCGGGATGCGGTTTTCCCCCTCGAAATGCAAAATGTTGCTTCAAGATTGGGTTTCATCGGCACCTGAACTAGTGGTAGGGAGTGAAGTAGTCGAACGTGTAGACCGCTTCACTTATCTTGGGAGTCTCATCAGTGCTGATGGCCTGGTGACTGACGAAATCTCAGCACGAGTTTATTAGGCTCGATTGGCTTTTGCCAACCTGCGTCACTTATGGCGTAGGCGTGATATCCGTTTGCTGACTAAAGGACAAGTGTACTGCTCAGTGGTTCGCTCCGTCTTACTTTATGGCTGTGAAACATGGCCAATGAGAGTAGAAGATATTCGTCTGTTACTGGTTTTCGATCATAGGTGTCTCCGAAGCATTGCTCGTATATCGTGGGACACCCGAGTGAGCAACGCTGTTATTAGGAATCGGGCGCTAGGTAAGAATGGCAGATCAATCGATGAAACAGTGAAACTTCATCAGTTGAGGTGGTTGGGACATGTGTTGCGTATGCCTAACCACCGACTGCCTCGTCGAGCTTTGTTTTGTAGTGTAGGAGTAGGTTGGAAGAAAGCTAGGGGCGATCAAACCAAAACATGGCAGAAATCCATGAAATCATTGACAAGTGGACTGAGTCATGTTGGGAGATGTGGGCTACCGGGTTGGCGTCCGCGAGATGATAATAATCGATGGTTAGAGACCTTGAATGACATGGCTCAAAATCGTTTGCAATGGCGCCGGTGCATTTATTCTTTGTGTTCTTTCAAATCTTAATCTTCTGTATTCTTCAACAACTCTAGTTTTTTGACTTTCTAAATTTTCTCACTGAATCATACTTCTTGAATAATATTTTCTAATCCTAACCTCTCCGACTACTTCTAATACCCTTACTAACTCTTCTACTATTGGATTTGAATTGACAATTACATCTCTGTGCTGATGTGATATGGCAACATGAACTGATGTACTTACGTACAAAGTTCTACGTTGCAACTGACTGATTGACTGACTGTAATAGCCCACTAAATGAATGAGGAAATGATAGATATTGTACTTTTATTGGATATTGACAATTGATTGTACAGCATAAAATTACAACCTTATAAAAAAATATCAGTTTATGTAGTTCTATGCAAACGGCAAAATACCACCACTAAACTATTATAAACTGTGTTGTTACATAATTCAAACGATATCACTTAATAAAAGTAATCCATCCATGGTTGCATAAGTCCGTGCATCCTTTTTTTCCCCATTTTCCTAGTAGTCGCATCATCATCCTCTATAGTTAGTGTTATTACGTCATTTGGATCATTAACAACAACTACATTGTAATTATATTATTCACCGACATGATATTCTTATCACCATCATTATTAGTCTTTTCTTGTTCCTGTCTATCGCCTACCCATGAAATATCCCATTGTTCATACATATACATAGACATATACCTATATATGCGTATATATTTGTAGACGTATGTATAAATCTCCTATAAAGGTCATAATTTTATTTATGCGCCACTTTTTTTATTGTCATCTTCGTTATCATTGTCATCAACGACATTCATCGTCATCATCATCATCATCAGTCATCTTCATCATTATTATCATTATTTTTATTCACATCATCACAACAACCAAAAAAACTATCAGAATTTTGCTTCTTTTATTTTTATCATCCATTCCCATCTATCTGGATTGATTGTCTTCTCGTGTTTGACCATGTTGATTCCTTGATTGAACGCGTTTCGGTTGACTTGTTCTCTGTGTGTGTGTGTGTGTGTGTCTGTGTCTGTGTCTGTTTATCTATTCTGTTGTGTATGTATTGGAACTGTTGACTCTGTGTATGTGCGTTTGTGTTTGTGTGTGTGTTTGTGTTTACAAATGAATGCTTGCGTTTATGTGGTGGTCCTCCTGGTCCACTACTCTTTCCCTCAGGTACAACGGAACGTGTATGCCTAATTATTGGTTCATTCGATGGTGTCATCACTGTACATAATTATATCATGGATCGTATTATGGAAAAACCTGATCCTAATCCAAATACAACTGGAGAAGGCAGATTAAATGTTGAACGGCATAAACAGGTAGGAGTTTTGTTTGTTTTATTTACTGCTGTCATTATCTCAACCGTATTTACAATTATCTCATCATTTTTCCTTTAATTTTCTTCTTCTTCTTCTTCTTCCTGCTTTACTAATTAATTCATTACATCATCATAGTTCTATTGTGTTGTGTTGTGTTTTGTTTTACACTGTTGTGTAGTTAGTTCATTGAAATTACTCATATTGAGTGTTATTTTATTTGCTTTCTTCAGATTTCCACTAGTTAGTCCACTTCTGTTCAATTTTCAATTGATAGGTAAAAATTCTTGTACCGAATAGTACAGCTGGTATGGTAATAGGAAAAGGTGGTTCGTATATTCAAGAGATTAAAGAGAAAACTGGTGCCTATGTACAAATTTCACAAAAATCACGAGAATTCAATCTTTTAGAACGATGTATTGTTGTTGCCGGTAGGTTTGTTTATAATCAACTTTTAAAGTATATTGTTTGATCTTGATTCAGTCAGTTAGTCAGTCAGGCAGATGCAACGTAGAACTTTCGTACGTAAGTACATCAGTTCATGTCGCCATACCACATCAGCACAGAGATGTAATTGTCAATTCAAATCCAATAGTAGAAGAGGTAGTAAGGGTATTAGATTCAATAGCTAGATGTTTATAGCTTCTTTCTACTGTATTCTTTAACCGACAAGTCGACACTCAGTCTCTATGAGAAATCTATTTTAAGCAGACTTGATTGTGTAGTAGAGGAAGATTAGATTGCATCATACTATAAAAATTATACATAAAAAAAATTGAGAAGTGTTTCAATAGAGAAGATTGTAAATCATTAGTTAAATAGTTTAACCGAAAGCTTATGTTGTTTGTTGGGGGTGTTCCATTTCCTGAGTTGGATGTTTTTGGTTGTGGAGCGTTCATTGTTCTCCTGCTGCTGAACACAACATCATCAGCACAAACCTCAAGTAGAAGTGCTTGGATTTCTTCAAATATAACTTATAGAGCTGGTCAATATCTATGTCAACAGGACAAGTTAGAAGTCATGTGTATGGAGAAATTCGAATACTGTAATGTGTGTATTTTTATGTCGAGCCCATATAGGTTGTCTTAACCTTTGGACACAATTTAATTAATCCATTTTTCTTGAGTTAGTCACACCTCTTCCGACCTTGCGAACTGTTTTCTTTTATCTTGGTTGATTTTATTCGAATGTGTGTGCCGCCTACTTTGCTAATCGCATCTTTGGATTATTTTTGTCTAGCTGTAAATACTTAGTTATGCTTCAGTACATTGAATTGGCTCGCTGACCTTCTTCACGTCACTTCGCTCTGTTTGTATACTTTTCAATCTCATGCCTGACTGCATGAACAGTTGTCTGAAGTAAACTCATCCAACGGAATCTGTATTTGGCTGCTTTTTATTACCATCGCACAAACCTGGTTTGTCTAGGTATGATATTTAATTGTTCATAAATATCAGAGTCTAACGCAGCAACCAAAATGACGAACCCGACGACCAACATAACTCAGCCCACTAAAACACTTCAGCTGTGCTATCTGAAGTTTGTGCTGATGATGTTGTTCCGAAGAAGAATGATGAAAGCTGCACAACCAAAACATCCACTTCAGAGAATGAAGCTTCATGACAATCATCCATCTGAGCTACCAATTTTCTCCAGCATCTCAAGCAATTATTATTAGTTGGGCAATGTCTCATGTTCTAAAATAAGTCATCAAGTTAAATCCTAGAGTGTAAAGAACGCCAATGTTGAAATATTGGATAGGGGGAGCACAAAGAACACTAGAGAGTTTTTAGGAGCTTGGTACTCAGGTCAATCAACAAAACCGTCGACATTGACCTAATTTATCAACTAATCAGAAAAATCATAGACAAAATATATGATCACGGAACAGAACAACGGGGGGATTAAGTCAAAGCGAAGATGCAAACAACGACAGGTCAGTCACAAATGATCAAGATCGAAGTTAACAAAACAAGCTACGAGTCAAACGTGGAGAAATTCGATTACTTCACTTCTGCCTCAGGACCGTTGGTATTGTGCGCGAACGCCCCAACCGTCAGACCACTGAGCCGGTATCTAACGGTGTTAATGTCTAACTTGATCAAATTCACCGAAGGTCCTGGGTTCGAATCCTGCGGGGTGCAAGATTCGCGGATGCGCACTGCTGAAGAGTCCCATACCAGGACGAAACAGCCGTCCAGTGCTTCCAGGTTTCTAATGGTGGTCTAACATTGATCGATTCATGGTTTCAAAAATGTGTAACTTGACAATCTTCACAACCCCGTAATGCATATATATATATATATATATATATATATATATATATATATATAAGGATAATTCATAAGTTAGTTTTCTAAAAGTTATCATTCCTTCTTCATTGCACTCGAATAAAAAAAGTATTTCGTTCAAATTTGTCTAGAAAATTCTATTTCACATTTATTTAAACATAAAATCACAATGAATTAATTATTTATACAATGCGAGATGGAAAAAACAACAACACTAAGACATGGAAAAAATTAATTGTACAAAAATATCACCGAACTGATCAATATAAATAAAAGTGTAAGTGTAAGTGTAGTTAGCCTCAGTCAGCTCTACAACTTGGTAAAACATCGTATGTACGCATGTACATCCGTTCAATTTGCCATTAACACATCAACACACGGAGATGAAGTTGTCAAGTCAAATCTCATAGGATTAGAGGGGTAGTAAAAATGTATTAGCAGTAATCCGAGACATTCGGGTTGAAAGATATTTATTATTCAAGAATTATGATCCAGTGAAATAAATTTAAGAAGTGAAAGATAAACTTACGCCTGTTACCCCCAGTGGAGCATAGGCCGCCCACCAGTTTTCTCCAACCTACTCTGTGCTGAGCTTCCCTTTCCAGTTCTTTCCAGTTTTTGCTCATTCTTCTTATGTCTTTCTTTTTTTATCTCCTTTTTAATGTGTTCCTTGGCCTTCCTCTTTTCCTTTTGCCTTGAGGGTTCCATGTGAGGGCTTGTTTCGTGACGCAGTTCGGTGCTTTCTGCAATGTGTGTCCTATCCACTTCCACTACTTCTTCCTGATTTCCTCCTCCACTGCAATCTGATTTGTTCTCTCCCACAGTAGGTTGTTGCTGATAGTGTCTGGCCAACGAATACGAAGTATTTTGCGAAGACAACTGTTCATAAACACTTGTATCTTCTGGATGATGGCTTTCGTAATTCTCCCAGTTTCCGCCCTATAAATTGGAAGTGTCATGACATTTGTATTGAAAATCGTGATTTTGGTTTTGGTTGAAATTTGTTTGGAGTTGCAGATATTTTTCAACTGTAGAAATGCAGCCCTCGCTTACCCAATCCGCACCCTCACATCTGCATCGGATCCGCCTTGCTTGTCGATGATTCTGCCCAGATATGTAAAGGTGTTAACGTCCTCCAAGGCATCTCCATGAAGAGTGATTTGGTTGGTGCGTGTTGTGTTGCATCGGAGAATTTTGCTTTTTCTTTTATGTATGTTGAGACTTGCTGCAGCAGAGGCTACTGCTACACTGATCGTCTTCTCTTGCATTTGTTGTTGAAAGATAAAGGCGATGAAGAATTCAGAAAATTAGAAATTGAGTGAACACTAAAACTGAGATGCACCTGTGCCATTGCAAACGATTTTTAGCCATGTCATTCAAAGTCTCTAAACCACTGGTTACTATCATCTCGTGGACCCCGACCCAGGTAGTCTACACTTATCAATATGACTCAATCCAGTTGTCAGTGACTTTATGGATTTGTGTCATGTTATTGGTTTTGCCGCCCCTAGATTTCTTCCAGCCTACGTTGATGTGAAAAACCGATCTACTGAATGAACATTTTATTTTAAATTTGTTCACATCATTTTTGTAATATAGAAAGGTTAATTAATATATAAACCGATTGATTTTTCCTATTTGTTTGTTGAAAAAATCTGTTTTGTGATACATTCGTATCTGAAGGCGACGAATAATAAATGTTTAGGTTTAAAATAATATTAGTAAATCTGTGTATATCACATAGTAAGTTATGGTAGAGTGAATTATTGTAAAAATACAATTAAATATTATAATTTACATAAAATCTGATTGTTCATTGAACTGTATGTAAATCAATGATATACACAGGTGGTGTATTCTTACAAAAAAAATCTTAATTTTTTTCGATTTATTTCGAGATTCAAATAAATTCTGTGATTATTGTAGTCATGGATTGATCAATATTAGGCCATCATTAAAACCTCGAAAGCAATGAACATCCGTTTCGTCCTAGGATAGTGCTCATCAGAAGTGCGTATCCATAAAATTCGCAAGTGAGATTCGAACCTAAGAACGTTGGTCTTGCGGGCGCTAACGCTGAACCTCTGAACCATTGAGCTGGCATTCAATGGTATTAATTAATATTGCATAACCTCGCTCATTGTTCACGCATGAAATCGAAGGTCTTGTAATCGATTCTTGTGAAATAGTAATATCTTTAGATCAGACTGTTTACTAAGAAAATATATACATGTCTTTTGGTCTTTAAAACACTTTGATCATGTCACTGATTCTAATCTGGCACTATTCTTCCCGGTAGTAACTTCTGGGCAACACTGCGCTACACATACTACTTAGAAGCTACGTCGCGTGTCGTATCCACCATACTGCTACAGAATATGATCGCTATTACTTATCATTAATAGAATGTGGTTATTGTCAACAGTGCGAACATGTTCGGGATGCGGTTTTTTCCTTCAAAATGCGAAGTGATGATTCAGGATTGGCTTACGTCGGCACCTCAACTAGTAGTAGGGAGTGAAGTTGTTGGGCGTATAAACAGCTTCTCTTATCTGGGGAATCTCATCAGTGCCGATGGCCAGGTGACTGACGAAATCTCAGCACGGATACAGAAGGCTCGATTGGCTTTCGCCAACTTGTGTCGCTTATGGCGTAGGCGAGATATCCCTCTGCCAACCAAAGGACGCGTTTATTGTGCAGTAGTTTGCTCCGTCCTAATTTATGGCTGTGGAAAATGGCCACTAAGAGTACAGGATATTCATAGGCTATTCGTATTCGAAGCATTGCTCGTATATCTTGAGTCTATTTAGTAAGCAATGCTGGTGTTAAAAAATGGGTACTTGGAAAGGATGTTAAATCAGTTGATGAAGTGATGAATCTTTATCAATTGAGATGGTTGGGACATGTGTTACGAATGCCCAACCACCGACTGTCTCGGTGATTGATGATGCCTGGTGTAGAGGTAGGCTGGAAAAAAGCTAATAGTGTCCAAACCAAAACATGGCACAAATCCATGAAGTCACTGACAAGTGAACTGATTCATATTGGCAAGTGTAGACTACCTGGTTGGGGTCCGCGAGACGATGATAACCGGTGATTAGCAACCTTGAATGACATGGCTTAAAATCGTTTACAATGATGCAGGTGCATCCTTTTTCAGTGTTCTCTCAAATTCTAACTGGATTATCCTTCTTGAATAATTTCTTCGAACCCTAAACTTCTCATTTGCCGCTGATACTTCTACTATCTCTACCTATATTGGATTTCAACTGACAATTGTTTCTCTGTACTAATGCGGTATGGCAACTTGAACGTATGTACTTACCTACCAAGTTCTACGTTGTAACTGACTGACTGTGGTTATCTTCATTAGCATTTATTATTTTTAAGTTATAAAACAAAAAAAGATACTCAAGTTGAATCATCATCATCATGATGTGAATTTGTTCTATTGTTTTTTTTCCAGGTGAATTAGATCAAACTAGAGCTGCTGTTCGTTTAATTCTAGGTGTAATTGCTGCTGATCCACAATCAGCTAGTTGTCCAAATCTTTCATATCATGATATACAAGGACCAGTAGCTAGTGTTTATCCAACTGGTTCACCTTACGCAACACCAATCATTCCTTATTTAATTAATCCATCAGCTTTATCTAATCCTTCAATGGATACGAATTCACCTGCAGCTGCCGCGGCTGCTGCAGCAGCTGCAGCAACTATGATGGCAGCAGCCGCGGCAGCAGCTGCCACTGGATCATTTACACCTGGTCCATCATCATTACAATCAACTACACCGCCATCATCCGCAGCAGCCTCATTTATTTCATCACAAGGTGGTGGATTTTTCCAATCGAATTTCCCATCAACACCAGATATTGCAACAATGATAGCGTTAACATCAAATCCTCCAGCACAAACTGGATCAATTATTTTACCTTCAATATTGCCTAATCCTCCTCCTAGTAATAATGGTCGTATTCCATATGGTGGTGGTGGTGATTTATTTGCACAAACTGGTGGTAGTATTGGCAGTGTTGGTAATAGTAATAGTAGTAGTAGTAGTACACCACCATGGTCACATATTACAGGACAAACTGGTTTTGATGTATTACTAACTGATCCAAATGTTATGACACCATTAGCCAGTGTATCTGTTGCACAACAAGCTTTAACTGGATCATTTATATCACCAAAACTACAAGATTGTCAATCAACTCGTTCTGTTATATCACCTCCAGTATTTTTTCCTTCATCTTCATTTATTCCAGGTAAATGAAAATGAATGACATTTCATTGTTTAATCATTCTAATCAATTTTGCGTACTTACAATAAGGGATTTGAATTTACAGTTGTGTTTCTGTGTGCTAATGCCGTATGGCAGCCTGAACTGATGTACGTGCGTACAAAGTTCTACGTTGTAACTGACTGTCTGATGTACCTAATATGTGTTATATTTCAAACTGTAAATTGATATATGGCTAGTGTTTCTTTAAAATCAATGATCATTGTCTTGTTTGCTGAAAATAGTTCTTCTTTTATTTGGTTTTACGAAATGAAATTCTCATGGTAGACTATTAGGTTCATTTTAATTAATCAAGTATTATTGCATGGGGTCGATTAATTTGGACGTTAAATTAATTACAGCTTGAACAACTAATTAAACTACTTGACAAAATACTGACTGTTCCAAATCCTTGACCCACTGTAGTAAACGCTGCTTCTCTGACGCTTCTGAATACATCCTACTGATTAGTATTACTTACTTACTTACTTACTTACTTACTTACTTACGCATGTTACCCCCAATAGATGAGCATAGGCCACCCACCAGTTTTCTCCAACCAACTCTGTCCTGGACTTCCCTCTCCAGTTCTGTCCAATGTTTGTTCATTCCTCGCATATCTTTCTCTATTTCTCGACGTAATGTGTTCCTTGGCCTTCCTCTTTTCCTTTTGCCTTGAGGGTTCCATGTGAGGGCTTGTCTCGTGACGCAGTTCGGTGCTTTCTGCAATGTGTGTCCTATCC